ACCCCTCTGAAGGGGGGGATCTCCCTGCAGCACAGAGAGCAAGCTGAAGCCTCTTTTGCTTGGGTCCATCTGGGTTCAGCCTGGTTTGTAACACTGGCCCTCTGCTGGATGTTCTTTCTTTGCTCCCACTGCACTGCTCTGCCCATGGCCACTCCTTGTTCTGTCTAAATTGTCCCTCTCTGATCTCTTCCCTCCTTGGCATTGTCCCAGAGCAGGAGGTCCTCTGTGTGGGCCCTCAAATTGCAAGGTAGCCCCTGCCTTGACTGTACTTCTGCTCCTCTGTTCTTCATGGGAAAGGTGGCCTGGCTGGCTGGGGGCTGTTCAGAGTTTGTGACAAAAATGTCACGGGATGGTAACAAGTTAAAATCACTTAGAGTGAGTTGAATTGCCACAGATGGAAGCTGTTGTGGTCGGAGCAAGAAGATGTGGGCTGAGTTAACCCACTGCATTTGCTATAGGGGCAGTTGAATTAAATCCAAGAGATCAGAGCTCCGTCCACTGCTGCTTGTGTCTTTCTACTGCTCCCCAAGACAGAGCACAACCATCTCACCTGGACAACCACAAATATTGCCTGCACAATGGGGTAGATGATTTTGATTGCAGACAGGCAGCTGTAGAAGCTCGAGTAATATCCTATTTTGAACACATCCATGACAAGGCTGAATATGGCAAATAGGATCAGGCCTCCTGTTGGGGAACAAAAATATCTGTGGTTGGACAGTTGTGTGCACAATGCAGATGGATGAGAGTAAGGAGAAGAGATGTTGTCATGAAGAGGCTTTGCTACTGCTGCTGTTTTTCCTCTCTCAGCACCCAAAATATCTTGGCAGCAACAAAATCATACAGTAATCTTGGCTGGAAGTGATTTTCAACCAGCCTGGTATGCTGGGGCTAACAGCTCTTGCAAAAGCAGCCTGAGAGACCCTGGTGTAAGACCCCGGTGGTCACCAAGAGCCTTTGTGGATTCAGGGAGACCTGGAAGTGAACCCAGTGCAGGGACCAGGAGCTGTCCTGAAGCAGGGCATGGTGCCATGCCCCAGTCCATCAGCAGGAAGAGGCTGTGCCCAGATCTTTGCTGCTTCCCTTGTAATAACCGATGCTCCCATGAAGTGTCCATCCTGTGTCTCCCCTCCAGCCCCAGCACCTACCTCTCAGCCAGATGGGCCCAGCGTGGGAGTCCTTGCCAAGGATGGCACCTGGGCACCGGGAGGTGCCGGCGAGGTAGAAGATGATCCAGATGATGACAACCAGCATCATGACTGTCAGCAGGAAGAAGACGTCGTAGTCGTGCACGGCAATCTTCTCGAAAGCCCCGCTGCTCACCAGCGTGCAGGCCAGCAGGGCCAAGTGCACGGCCAGCAGGATGGAGAACATGCGGCCACCCTTTTTCCACACTTCCTTGGAGGCAGGAGTGGAGGGGGGCTGGTGGCTGAAAGATGCTGTCTGGCTCGAGGCCAGGCTGGCTTTGTCGTCCTTGTGTCCACAGCCCATGCTGCAGTGGGGGTGTCCGAGCTCGCTGTCCTTCCGTCCGGGCTCCTCGGTCATGGTTCAACCAAGGCTCTGCCTGAGGGTCAGTGCTGTTAGGAAGAGAGGCCCGTGAGTGAGAGGTGCATTTGCAGCAGCCCAGGATTGGGCCAAAGCAGGATGTGTGATGAGGAGCACAGGATTTATCACAGGAACAGGGAAAGCTGAGACAGGGAGTGCAAGAAGGGTGAGCTCATTTTCAAACTTTCCTTTCCTGGTTCCCTGACGGCTTTCTTTATTTAAGATGCTCTTGCTCAGGAAGATCCTAGGTCAGCATAATGAAGTGTGTCTAATTGGTCACACAACATTTATGTGTTTACTGATGCAAGACTTGGAAAAGCACCAAAAAGCACTCACAGGATCAAATATCCTGGGGCAAACAGCCATAATTTAAATTCCAAATGTCAAACACTAAATATTCTGAGAAATGGTTATACTTCCTTGCACAAGAACAAGCCACCAAAAAGTAAGAAACCCCTGGGAATTTTTGGACTATCACATAATTTGTAGCAGTTCCTGCAGGAAGGGTGTAAACTACCTGAGTTGTCACACTCTCTAAAGCCTCTTGCCTGTGCCAAGTTTGGCATTTCATTAATCGTCAGTAAAAAGCCTGAAACAAAAGTGAATTAACCATCCAAACAAAGCCATTCCACCAACCTGTTTTGCTGCCTGGAATCCAAATCTCTGCTCGTGCCAGGCTGAGAAGTTTCCCTGTTGCTGCAGCTTGGTCAGTTGAAGAATTTATACCTGTTGGAACATCTCTGTAATTTATACCATATCTGAAGCTGACAGCAGGGCTTCGTGGGTTTCTCAGAGAAACTCATGTGACCCATTTTGTGCAATAGCTGATTTTGGTGAAGCTGGAAAGAGATGAGAAGATAAGGGTTATTTATCTAGCAAGAGCATGGGTTGACAACACTGCTAAGCATGGCATGGAATGCTCGGTCACAGGGTCATGGTCACCACAGAACAAGGCAACCCCACCAAATCCATCTCCCTGCATACATGAGGTCTCTTCCTTGAGAGAAGATGGTTTAGGTGATGAACCTATCTTTGGCGATGATTTTGTGCTTGGCTTTCTGCTTACTGGAGCACAATAAGCACTGTGCCCCACCCTGTGCTATTCAAATCAGTCCACTCCATGCCTCAGAGGTTCTTGAGGAAAAGGAAGAAATTTGCATTTGTGCCTGTTCAGTGCCACGGGTAACTCAATCCTTTCCCACCCAAGTTGTCATCAACGAGGAAGGTTTTGCACTAGAGAAGGGCAGGAATTAGGGACCAGAATTTGTCTTCTTTGCTGACGCACTGCCTTTGATTTTTCAGGGTGGGATCACCTTTCTCTGGACCTCAGGACTTTAACTCCTCTCCTTCCAAGGAGTAACCATGTCAGAAACCACAGGGCAGGTATGATTTAAACGTTTGTCTGGTAAGGGGACAGTTTCTGCTCAAGGTCCCTTTCACCCAGCTATTTTTTGTGGGGGAGCTATAGGAATTCCACGGCAGTTCTGCGTGGATGGGGACAAGTTTCAGTCCTTGAAATGCCTCTTTTGGAGATGTCTCTGCTGCTTTCCCCCTTCATGGCAAGCACAGAGCTGGGGACATCTGCTGTGTGTTTTCTCAGTCCCATTCCTGCCCGCTTGTGTCCTTCTTGCCGCACTGCAGGGACAGCAAACTGAATTGTGTGCGGTGGGGAAGGAGAGCTCAGGATCCACAGGGAGAGAGCCCCGTGTGTCCCTCCCGTGCTGCCACCAGCTGCGCCAGGTCTGCCCTGCCTGGCCTCTGCTGAGATAGGGATTCCTTTCGTGGGGAGTGCTTGGTCTCTTCTCAGTCTGCAGCCTTTCCCAGGGGAAGCCCAGGCTTCCCAGAAGTAAATCCGAGCTGATAATGATATTTTACAGAGACCAGAGGTTCAGAGGCCCCTCGGGCTAAAGGCGCTGGTTTACCGTGCCTCTTTTGTCCTTCCCAGCCAGTAATAGAGGAAAGAGTGTTTACTGCCTCGGGCAATGCTCCCAGTCTCCCTGGCAGCAACAAATTTAATTAGTAACAATACAAGAAACATTAAATAACGTTGGTAATGAATTGCAGACGTTATTGTGCTGCTTTTCACCTGCAAGGATTCCAGCAACAAAAACCTCAGTGGCTACTCCATCCCATCAGGGCTTGCCCAGGGCGGCTGAGCTGGTGCAAATGAACCTGTTGAGGTGAACAAACCCCGCAGGGAGCAGACTCTGACTCTGATGCACTTCCAGGGACGCTGACGCTGTGTCAGCCACCCAGGGATTAATCACTGCAGCTTGCGTGGGTGCACCTGG